AAAAGCTAGTCTAAGAAGTAGGCTTTTAGTTCAATGTTGGTTGAAGTACAGAATATAAGTATTACATTTATTGATTTTTGTTAAAATAATTGTTAACATATTTATGAAACGAGTTGATATTAATATTTTTTTTTTAAGTAATGTATTACATCAAATAAATGTTGCTCACTATTATCTTCCATTTGTTCCAACAAATCAACAGCACACTGTTGTTGTTTAGGATAATGCATGAATTCAGCTTGAAAAATATTTGTCGGTATAAATTTTCCTTTTGGTAGTACATCCACTAAAGCTTTATATACTTCTAAATCCTTTTCTACACCAAACTCTTTCATTCGAGCTAACGAAGCATAAATAAATTCTACATGTCCTCGTCGTCGTATATCGTGTCCTTCGAACATTTTTATAACTTCTAAATAGGTTTCTTTATTTTTCTGTGGTTTTGTTACGTATGGGTCGTAAACTGTAAGTTTCTTTTCTGTGTCTGAGCTCTTCCATCTTACCACCACGAGACTGGAAGTCGTACGAGTAGTTCTTAACAAATTTCCAAGCATTTTCAAAGCCATTTTTTATTATCTTTATTTAATATTACTACATTCAAGAATAAGAACTTATTTTAAGACTTTTAAAGCAACATTTTGAGGTTATGTTGTTTTTTCGATAGACATTGACAATTTGATTTGACTTTGACTTATAGTCCAGCCAGAGCAAAGAGTAAGTAGTAGTATAGTAGTAATAGTAGCCAAGGGCACATTTAGATTTTAACACCAATAATTATTGCACATAATGATAGTTAAAATAGATCCAAACTCCACAAAGTCGATCGAACTGGTAATAAAATTATCTTAAATGTTTCATTTCAAAATGTTGTAAGAACAAGATTAACATAAATGTTCATACAACACCAATCCTACTGTAGGCGATGTCGAAATGGTAACGTTGGAATCTACGGAATTATTTTTTATAAAAATTAAACACATTATACAAGTACAAATTTAAGTTTAGTACTATTAAAAATTAATTAAAATAGCAATTTTATTACAACAATAACAATAGCATTAACAACAGGCATTTTCATTCATAATTCACACTCCTCCTCCTCTCTACACCTCTCTCTTATTTTATCGTCTTTCTCCTTCTCGTCAAAACTTTCTGGTTCTGTAGAGCCGAGTTGAGGCGATACGGTATCACAATCACATTCACAATTTTAGTTGAACTTTTGGGATGCTATGGTGAAGTAGTGTCGCGCGCTGTATTTTTCTCACGTGTTTTAACTCGTAAAATCAAAACTTTTATTATATTGTAAAACTATCTTTAACTGTAGCAGTACTTATAAGTGTCGTATTACACTATTATATGTGGATAAATTAGTGTTATAAAAAAGAAATCATTTAAAATTAAGTTTCCAGAAGTGTTAAATTATGCTCGACATGTCGAAAGTTTTATTTCATAGTTTGTTCTTGTTTTTAGCTTTTATTGGTATAGGTAAGTGATTTTATAGCACTTTAAAGCTAATAAATAAGTAGTGGAATATTAAGATAGGTTTTTTAACTAATATTGTTTTGAAAAAAGAAATGTCCAAATATCGGTATGTTAGTACTGTAAAATTTTTCTCAATTATTAAATTAAGAAAAGATATTTAAAAAAGCTTAATAGCGAAACACGAAAGAAAGTATATTTAACCTAAATACATTTTTTCTAGTTTCCTCTGAAACATAGAGAGATTTTTGGGCTCATTCTAGCGAGAGTGGCGATCTATTTTTTGTTTTGTTTTGGGTGGCCGTTGCATCACAATAATGGGCACTCTTCCAATATTACTCTCATTATTGTAATATGTATTTCATTCTTGAGTTGTAGAAAAAAAAGTTAAAAGAAATAGTTAACGCGTTGACACACTTTTCTATACTGAATTCTTATACTATTCTCATGAATGGAATATTGTGTAAATTATTAAGGTAGGTACATGATTTATTAATATAGTTAAACCACAATAAATCTACTTTAGTTTACAACCTACTTCTCCAAATGACTGTCCAGAAGTTGGATAGTTTATTAACCGATTATACGCAAATTATTACTACAATGTAAGTTGAATATAAACATTAAAACTATAAAAACGTTTAATTCGAATCAGGAAGTAGAAGTTCTAAAGCGTTCAACCTTGTGTATCTTGTTATGAACATTACGACATATAAAATGATTTTTAAATGTTGACAATTCAAATAAGAACGAAAAAAAACATTGTTTTTTGCTTAACATATTGAGTATTATGGGGGACGGAATTTTTTTTAAATAATGTACACCTATAACAATTACATCTGATTGACTATTTATGTCAGAACTCTACGAATATTAGAACACCATAATATCCTTGTTTCCTTGATGTTGGCAGCTTGTAGTTCATGATCCCTTGCCCACATGAAGGTTTTTTTTTTTCAATTTATTGACCTCTAAATTTAATGACGTGAAAATATATAGCCTAGAGTGTGTCGTAAGTGTAAGACTGTTTGTTAAAGATAGATTTATTCAGAAATATGTTGTGATTACTGACATCCTACGCCACAAAGTAGTGTGTGATTACGCTTTATTATATAAGTAAGTAAGTAGGAATAGAAGTATAGATGTAGATTATATCCCTAACTACAAAGTTGTCTACATGATATTAATCTCCGTATAATCTGTTGATTTATTCAAACTTCACAAAACGTTCGCTCGTTAATTAATTTCGTCAGTTGTAACACCTGCGCAAATTCGTTTGTTCTGTTTTAAACAAATAAGGATTCACAGCGCATAATTATACCGCTGATTGATGCTACAATACACAAAAGCGGTTGATATCTACTTCCGAAACTACAATAACAAAAATTACAATACATAAGTATTTTCATTTGAAGGCAATTGTTTTTTTTATTTATAGTAGTAATTGTTATGCCAGAAAAGCAATAAAAATAAAAACTGCATTAAAAAGGGCCTTGTAAACTCGTTTGAAACAACCTATAAATGACGTGTTCACTTTTAGTTCACATTAACCGATAATTATCCTAAACTTAGCGATAATGACAATGGATTTTTGTTGGTAATAGAGCTATATGTATAAAGCTACTGTTATAATACAGTTTGGAACACATTAGCGTTTGCGGGGTGTGGGCCGATTTCTTTACAAAAGTCAGGATGAAGTCAGCGGCCCGTGCAAAAAGTTATCCCATCTGGGAGCGATGACAAATGATCCCAGTTGGGTGAGGGGACATCAGTGAAATGGCCGATTTCCTTCACGATTATTCGGCGGTCTGTGTGCCAGGGTAGGTATCCCTTGGGTGGCAGATTTCAAAGTTACCTCAGTACGTAGATGGGTGAAATATCTATGTTGAGGATTGAAACGTCTCTGCTTACGTAAAGTTATATTAACACGTTCAATGCAACTATATTACGGCGAGTCGGTGTACCTAACTAAACGTGTTAGTTTTCTCTAAATATGTAAAGAAATATCTTATAGAAATAAAACTATCGGATAAAAGATTGGAGTAGACAAATTTGAGCATTTTTGCATTGGAACTCTAAGTATCTATCGAGTGATACTGACCCATAGATTCCTTTGAGTCTTTCAAAACTACTGAGATCAAATTAAATCTAATCTTAATACATCTGAGACCTTTTAACGCTGATTTAATCTTAAAATGAGGAGACATCGTTTAGGTCGTAACTAGTTTTCGTCTGCGACTCCGTCCGCGTGGTATTAAACAAAAACAAAAGTCCATGTGTTCTTCCACACTCTCTATATCTATACCAAATTTCATCAAAATCTGATCAACCGCTAAGGCTAGAAATTCTAACAAATATCCATCCATCCATCTAAACTTTCGCATTTATAATATTAGTATGAAGTATGATTAGTATTATGTCAACTGTTCATTGACGTGTTATTTGAAGTTTTGACCGCCAAAAATACGAATTTGATAAGATAATGTTTAATCATTTGATAATCATAGATTCGCAATCAGTTACGTCGTATATTCGTCGTCGCAAGAGGAATTTTCCGCTATTTATCATAAGTAGACGCCGTGAGCGACTTATTGTAATAAATGAAAAGGACTGACATTGAAAGTTATTTATGAAGATATCACTAATGAATTTACTTCCTGATGGCCTAATTTCTTTTAGATTAAGCAATTAAACATACGATAATAAACGATAAACGATTAAAATTTAATATAAGCTGAGAATAGAGCATAAGTAAATCGATTTAGCTAATTCAAACTAAAACATCAGATCGAAGGAATTTTCTTTATAATACGTTGGAAATTATCTCTTCTGATGTATGTAGATTTTCTAATTAGATCGTGTTTCATGTCGTTGAAAATCGTTTCTTGGTTCCCGTATATTATAGGGGTAAAGCTTTGCATATTGTTAAATTCATACCCCTCACATTGTAACAAGACTTCGGTGGCATTGTCCCGGGAATTGGATTTATGTTCTTCGTGGGATTATAGTCAGTTATTAGTGACACGAAACCGGGGTCTAAGATTTCTAAGGATTAACCCGACTTAATGTAAGATGAGGCGGTTCATGCCCCGCCTTGTCACCGCATCGTCCAATTGCTTAAATTAATTATTACATCAGAAACAAGATAGGCTTGCGGCTTCCAAAATTGTATCTTGATATCCAATTTAAATTGATGTCACCGATAAAGGGTATTCAAAATTGATAGGAGACAATTTGGTTTGATAGATTTAGGAAACAGATTAGACACATTAAAAAGCTCTATGCAAGTGGAAAATGCTTTTATTTGTCACCTAAAATACAACATGTTGTTTGCATATCAATATCACAATGCTTTATGAGTGGTTAAAATTCTAGAGTTGAAATTATATAAAAAGTGTAAATACCACGTGCCGTTTACTTACACTGGAATCACTTGTACAGAATTGCTGCTTGTGAAATAACTGAATCCTCTTTCAAAATTCACGTCTTTCGTTCTTCTAAGTTCAATGTTACTCCCGTTAATGTATTCCGTGGCGTTATATTGTTGATTCCGTTTTTTTCAAACGTATCAATCCATTTACGAATTAAATTCTCACTCGGTGCTTCATCTATAGTACTCAAACCATACTCTTGTTTATACAGGCGCCGTGCAATAGTTATCGATCTGTTGTTTTTGTAATACGCGCGGACGCAAAACGCACGCTGTGCTCCTGGATACTCCATGGTAAACAACTTTATAAGGACGAAGTGACGAGGGACGCCACCGCCTAGCAAATAAGTGTACCGTTACACCCACCTACCGTACTTATTGTAATGAATAAACCACATGCCATTAACCTTCTGCAGTTCAAATTTTCTAGTTTGTTTATTGATTATTACTCTTATTACGTAACATAAAAAGTACATACAAAATAATAATGCTCAAAATACCATCATTTATCATGCAGCAGTTCAATCTAATGTCTTACGTTGGTTCTTAAATTGGTCCACGATTATGAGCGTCAGTTTAGATGTGTGCTATAATTATTATCACTCACACTTGTAGTAAGATCGTACGATATAGTGGAGCCAATAGGCGAGAGCGGCGTGGTGGGCTCGGCTCCCCACCACGCACCATCGGAATGTACGATTGCACAGGTAAAATTAAACACGTTTTGAGGGCGCTAATGTCCAAGGCCATTGTCAAGATATGGAGAAAGGAGTCGTTGAAGCAATCCAGTCTAACTGTGACATCTGTATCAACATTTAAACGTCATTCAATAGAACTAAAAAAATTGGGGGCGTTAACGTTTAATCATACGATACGACGATAAAATAATACCCACATATTACGAAATAGATACCAAGTTAAAAATGTTCATCTGTTACAGATGTATCAACGACGTTTACTTTTAGGAACGTGACGATATAGATAGTACTATTTACCATAGATAAGAAGTAAGATAGAAAGGTAGGGTAGTTGTAGTAGTTGAAATAAGAATAAAAAATTCCAATCACTTGGAAGTCATAGAAATGTTCGTGGCCGATGCATGAACGACGACCGTTCGTCCGTGACTTTCGCGTGCAAGTCGTTTATTCACAGATAACCTCGTATCTATTCGTTCAAATATAAACAATGGAGTATATAATACTACAACTACATTATAACATTGTATCTATTACTTAAACCATTTCACAGTTCACATTTACAATGAGTGTTTATTCTGTTATATGTAAAATTCTGACCAGACGTGAGCTGAAATTTGTAAGTGCTTTTACCTCCCGGCATATACAAGAATAACTATGCTTAATAAGTTCTTTAATGTTTATTAACTCTGCTATTATTCTTTAAATCCACAATTAAATAAATAAAATAGAGTTAGAACGAAATACGAGCTTTTTGTTTATTTTTTCCATCCATTTTATTTTATGCAAATTAAAATGTAAGGTCATATTAAAATTTAAGTGAAAATAAAGTAAAGCAAAACCCTAAGATTGTATTGTGACTGAAAAATTCCTGCCTTTTTAACATCACTGAAATCCTGGCCTTTTTGATTCTCGTTTTGAATTTATTATATCTTGACTTAAGCACTTCTTAAGGGTTTTTCTTAAATGGAAAATTCTTTTGTGCCTTTTCTTTGAATTTTACTTCATGAAAAGAGTGCTCGAAAGGTGGCTATAAGAAGGTTCAACCTATAAGTCATGTACTTACATATTTATAAGAGGACTAAAACACAAAGATTGTATTTAGAAGCATTAAGATTTTTTGAAAGCGTATGCTAATTTTTTTTTAGACTTAACACACCATGGTTTGCAAACAACTTACAGAATATATAGACGGACTGTAAAATCAGGCAATTCAGAATTTATCAGCGACATACCTTCTAACTTATTGATTGAAGATAGACCAAGAACTAGTGAGTTTACGTTCATAATTAGAGTCAATTAATTTGTGTGCGGTCGTCGTCTGAGACAGGCTAAGTTATGCGTCGTCTTCAATTTAACATTAATTAATATTATTGATAACCACAAGGTCTTGTGTTTGTACGTTATTGTTATGTTGATGTTCTTTTTTAAGTAGATGGTATATTTGTTTTAGTAAAACAACTAGCCTCATTTACTGTTGTTATAACGTTGGTACGCTTTTGTAAGACGTCAATGAAATGTTCTGTAAGGCTTCTATCGATAATGACACAATTTTTAATATACTATTGTACCTTTTTACTGGAATATAAATATATGTTACAGCGTCAATTATCTTACAAATATTGTAAGCAAATGCAAAAAGTTTAGATGGGTGAATGTTTGTTAGAGTTTGTAGCCTAAATTGTTGAATGGATTAAGATGAAATTTGGCATAAATGTAGGCGATAGCTTGAAAGAACACATAGGCTACTTACTTTTGATTAATTTAATCCACGCGGATGGAGTCGCGGGCGGAAACTAGTATTAACATATTTCGTTAACGTTAACAGATGCTCTGAAAGAGAATTGCAATAAGGAAGAGGATTTGCTGCAGAGATGCTCAATGGCATTGCCGGTTCTAAGTTCACCGGAGATATCGTTTGCTCTCACAAGAGAAGAATTAGACAAGAGTTGTGTGTAAGTATTCTTAGAGTTTTTAGACAAAATTAGAATTATTCCTGTCATTGTATTTTGAAACTTATGGCGAAGCTGATAATGCTTTTACTTTTGTCTAGTAGTTCAAAGTTATAAAAGTTCAATGACCTTATTTATTCCAGTTTCATTTTAAACTCGACTTTCCAAATTATTTACTGACAGGTTGATAATATTTCCAAAGGTATGATTGTGGTTAATGATTGATTTATTCAACGAATATTAAATTCCAGTATAAAAATAATCATTTAGAAATGAACTTGCGTTTCGTATCGTGTATTTGTTTGCTGAATCTAGTGACGTCTGTTTGTTTTCTTTTTGGTGCCAAATGTTTGCTTTCCTGGTGATATAAATAAATTGACGTAGGAGTGACGATTGCTATCAAATTGTATAAGTCCAATAACTATTTTATATGTAAAACGTCATAATTATTCTTGGTCATCATTATCTATTTCTATGTCGATACTTCAAAAGTTTCACGCTGGTTGAAGTTCAGCCCTATCGTTCACAATTACATATTATTTTTTCCCCTTTGTGGATTTAAAGGGGAAATAATAATATGTAAATTTCCCCTTTAATGGGGATCCCTTAATTACGATTAATTTATCTGTCATGTACTAATTTGGTAATCATTTCACCTTACCGAACTGTCCAACTGCGGTATTTGATTGACACTCAGAATGGTTGATGAGACAAGTTTGACCGACTGTCAGTAAGTTTTAACCCACTAGAGGTTAAATGAACAATGAAATAATAGTTTGTTGAGTAAATCTACGCTCATATTATAAAGAGGAAAGATTTATATTTTTTAATTTTTGTATGTATTGAAATAGCGCTAATAGTCTAATAATTTGGGGCACGGACTACCGGTCTTGCGGTCAAGGGTTCGAATCACGCCATTTGACTATTGTCGTGAACCATATCCTAGCACAAACTTAGAGCTTAGTTGGAATAGTTTAAGGAAATATTAATAATTAAAAAATACTAATATAAAAAAAACTGTTGGGACAATTTCAACAATTCTTGCACCATTAAAAAGCTACGTTGTCACTGAGTAAATAGGCTATATCTTTTAATTATAAATGAGACTATGAATTATTTGTGCTGTGTTCCGATTCACAATTCTATCACTAATTATATTATATTGTTACAGAGAACTTCGAGCTGGTATCAAATGTATAGACAATTACACAGCAGTATGTATGGAGAAAAACGAACAGGTTGTATTCAGGCGGATATACGCTGGTATAACAGACGTGGTTCAGGAGTTATGCGCACGAGGACCTTACCAAGATGAGTACTTGAGGCATGCGGATTGCGTAAAGAACGTACGGTCCGAGTACGAAGTTTGTAGCAAGAAGTATGAGGTCACATTAACCACGCTAAGCAGTCATAAGAACGAACAGTATCACACGGATAACAACGAAATGGTGGACCATGAACACCATCTGAGGACTGTCTGTTGGTAAGGAATTTATACTAATATTATAAATGCGAAAGTTCAGATGGGTGTTTGTAGCCTAAACGGCTGGACGGATTTCTATGAAATTTGGCATATAGATTTAGACAGAGTCGCGAGCGAAAGCTAGTATTTTATATTATGAGGTGACATACGAATTAGCGGCCACTTTCATTCGCGAAAATGGGGAAGCGTCCGTTGCCCATAGACATCTGCACTTGCAGATGCGTTAGCTATCCCTGACGGAGGAAGAGACGCACACAAAGAAGATATTTTCCCTGCCTAAGCATTTCTTCCACCAGCAATATTTATCATACGTCTCATATTTCTATTTCAGTCATATCCATACTTTTCTCCTTGATGTGCCTTTCAGCAATTTGCTTATATTTTATGAGTAAAATTATTAATTTGTATTAAAATTGTATCGTAGGTGGCGTTTACGACTTATTTGCGTGTCCCTCTGAAATAAAATTGTGACCTTTTAGGCTAATTTAATATAACTTTAGTTTAGTGTTCTATTTAAAAAAAATCCTGCAATTATTACTTCAGTATTATAATCTTTCTAAGGGGTTTACGTTTTAGTTTAATGATATTTATCTTTTCACTACACTTACCTATCGATTCTAGTTACTTGCGTTACAATCAGTATTTTAAATAGCAATCGATGTTTTAAATTTTTTGCACGCTAACCTCATCGACCTCACCTTCGAATACTGATTAATATTCAACTCAAATCGGATAGGATTAGCAGACGCACTTAACGGATATTCTGAATATTGACGTAATCGTTTTACGTAATATACGGACAATTAATTTTTTTTAAATTTTTTGTTAACATTTTCTTCTTAAAAAGTTGCATATGGTAATTTGCATAGATTCGTCATGAAATGACGCATGATTTACTAACATAATTATGTAAAAATTTTACGTCAAAGAATATTAGTTAACTATAAAACAATAAAAACATTGCTATCTCGTTAACTTCAAACAGAATGAGCAGGATAACAAACTCGAGTTTATGTCGCCCTCTAATCTCCTATCTACTATTAGGGATCATGTTAGTTTATGAATGTTTTATTTCCAGTTCATTCCAAGAGTACCTGATGTGCTCGGAGCAGACGGTGCAGCGATCGTGCGGTGATGAGGCCGCTTTGTTCACCAGCGCTTTCCTGAAAAGAATGGCTTCCAATATTATCAAGGTTAGTTTCGTTGAACTTTATTTAGTAGTGATGAATTAGATTACTAGATTATTTAAAAAATCTATTTAAAACTGGTCGATGATTGTCTTCTAACTAGTGATTTGATTTAAAAAAGAAAAAAAACATGAAATCATTTAATCTTCATCGCCCAATGAAGTCATCGTCAACATTTTCATTTTATATGATGCACCTAAATTATAGAATGCTTCATAAATATTTTATCTATATATCTAACGGCCGAATACTGAAACGTCTTTTAAATATGTAAAGGTACAAACGCTGTTTTAACTCAGATTTATCTGAACAGACCGAGCGTTGAAATAAATGTAACGTGTGTAGACAAAACTGAGATCTGTTCAGTTAGACTGAACGCTTAAATTTACAATTCCTTAAAAACTTTGAGGTCTATCAAATTATAAGCGAAGTATTTAATATTCGTTTCAGTATTTGATCGTAAATTTATTAAAAACTACTGCCATATTTTGATTCATAAACTCGATTTAACTTAAACGCAATGTAACGATTTCAGTGTTGCCCGTTGAAGTGGATAATTTTACATTGCGTATATCTTTGTTACAGAACTTCTGCCTTGAATACCGCGGTAGGGAATGTGGGTTGGCAGGTAAAGCGGACAGTCACACTACATCGCCGATAATTCTTGCGATTTTGGTACAAATCGCGTATATAACTGGAAATTTAGTACCTGCGTAGTTACCTTAGTTTATTTAGGTGGAAGACATTAAATTAGAACGTCGGTAGAATCGCGGTCGTGTCCGAAGTTCGGGAATAGTGCAGCGTTTAGTGCACTGTAAATATTTTATCAGCCTAGTGACTAAATTCTGAGTAAGATCCTATCCTATCGTAGTCACTGAATACACTTGGTATAAGTAATCTTATATAATGTTAAATCAAGTTATATTTGTTGTTGATCTCGGAAGCCTTCAATTTGTAGTTACTTTTTAAACAACTTCATTATATTCTTTTAGCAAGAGAAAAATAAGATATTAAGTGACCACCGGTTTTAATATAGGCAAAAAGAGAGTTATTTTGGTATGGTTTAGACGCGGGTTGTGGAATAATAAATCAATTGGTTGAAATAAATTATAAGACATGTATTTTATTCCTATAGTAATTTATTCTTTGTTGAATCTGTCGTTCAAAGAGATTGTAATGAATAGTGAAGTGTAATTAGTTTCCTGTGTAAAAATAGATTCACATTCTGTTGCTGAGATATTTCGTCGGACGAATGAATGCATGTGCATGAAATGTAAGAATAGATCTATGTTATGTTTTATTTTTCTTAGGGCCTGTCCCACTAAATTATAAATTGTCTGATAACAACGTGTAAAATATGTGATGGAAATATCGTATTTTGTTACCTTATCTCACAGTGACGTCACTTTTAAGCTATCTGAGCCTCTATCAGCTAGTGGTGGGAGAGGGCCTTCATATCCATCGTTATCAGTCATCGTACATTAAAATTGTTAATACTTCTTTAAGTTAAGCTCAGAACGTACTGTGATAATTATTTTTTGTAAACTTTAGAAACATTTAAATTTATTAAATCACTTGCATCTTATTTTTAGTTAAAAAGCTTAATAATTGTTACTTGAAATTTGTTTTTTTGTGTTCCTAAATGTAAAATTAAGTAGTGAAAAAATGTAATAAAACCCTTGGTACTTAAAAATCATAAACTATATGTTAATTTAAACTGATTTTTAAAAATCATATATTTTATATGCTCATTATTAATAGTAGACTATTATTAATTTTTATTGTAATTGTATTGTACTTGAAATGTCTTTTAATTAAATGCTAGTTATTATTAAGTTTTATTAACCGTTTTAATTCAACATAATTGAATGTCAGTTTTATTTCATTCGAAACTAGCTGCTGCTTGCGACTTCGTTCGCGTGAAATTAAAAGTAATGAAATAGTCTAGCCTATTTTACTCACAAACTATCTAGCGGTCAAAGATTTTTAAAATCGGCCCAGTAGTTTTTGAGTTATTTCATTACATACAAAACTCCAAAAATAAAAACTTCTCTTTATGATATTAGTTCGATATATTTTAAATATTTGCCAACATTTTGCTATTATTAGAAAAAAAACACGTGTATAAAAGACAAAGAATTAAATTAATTATTCGTATCGAATATTCAGTAACATTTTGTATGAGGGTAGATTTGAATTAATTAATGCTATAAAATTTTACTTGTTACAATTAAAATCTTTGTTTTTATATTAGGATTCTATCGAATAGTTATTTTATTTAAACATCATATAAATGATTTCTAAATTATTCGTCTCCTATTAGAAGTAATTCCGGTATATCCCATAATGTTCAAAATTTCAACCTTCAATCTTTATCCACAACGAAGTTACAAAGGTGTCAAAAATGCCCTCAAGCGCTTCGAGAAAATAGATGAAAATCATACAAAAGTGATCTTTGAAAGCCATTGGTACAATCACATAGTTATACGTAATCTTGTGTCATAATTTTCTATTTAAAATTTATTTTTAATTTTAATCCGCATGTTTTCTAAAATCTGTTTATTCTATGTAAATAGATATTATTAGGTATATGATAAATTATTAATTGTAATATAATTTGTATAAAATGTATCAATAAATTGATTAAATATTGTTCTTCTCTTATTTCATCGTATCTGAGTTATTTTTTGTTTCAGAGTTACAGATAAAATAGCAACACTAACATTTTAATTTACTAAGAAACTCCTACCTTTAACGAGGAAGTTACTTTTATAGAAATTCGAGCATAGCATTAAACCTATTATAACCTCGATAACTTCTCTCTGAGAAGTCTGTTCTGAAGTTCTGTAGGCGAGATTCTATATGTTTTCCCAATGAATTAAAAACCTCAAAATATATTCTTCAAGCCAATTAATTGCTATGAGAATTGGAAGAGATTGTTCGTTACATTCCTTTAATTATTTCTTATTAATTATCGGTTTGCGAACTGAGTGTGTTTATTAATATTTAATTATAATTAAACGAGGGTAACCTAGTTATGAAATAAGTTATAAATTAATCTGAACGTTTGTAATACGAAATTCTTCGTCTAAATTTATTAACGTAGCAACTGTGATTAAAATTACAATGTAATTGGTACTATTATGTGAGTTAATAATGAGAATATTTATTTTGTTTAAAAGTTTTTAAAAAAACAATGGGTGTTTTATACGAAAAGGGGGCAAAAGAGCGGTCGGACACCCTAAATACAGATATGAAGTGTTACTAAATGAATTTAGTTCGTAAACCATATCAATTCCAATATCGTTACACATAGAGGGTGTTGCTACAGATAATGCAATACTATACGAGTAGTACTAAAATATTTTTTAGTAGCGTCAACCTCCATTTCTAGTCTAAAGGCTGTAAACAGTAAAGACGATCACGGAGATATTATTGATGTATTAACTAAAATATACTACGTAAGGATAACATTAAATAGTACCTCCAATATCTGATCCAGAACTATACAAGGACGGGATGTGTTTTGGCGCACCACTAATTTTAACGTAATTGCTTTAATCTGTTTTCGGCGTGCTTCAACGACCTATCAAATTATCGGAGGATATTTACACAAGGTACTAACAATTCTGCGGTTTGTAATCCAATATTGCATTTAGTTTATGCTCAAAGAATTAAATAACCTATTTACTATCTTTAAATGTTATCTAAAACAATGCAGAGCTGTTGAGGCGTAATACTGGGACGAGAAGAAACTTGCTCCTTTTCTTTATCAGTGGGTGGAATTTAATTTACACTGTAAAGTGATTGCAGATTTTTTAATCATGAAACTATTCATTTCAATCTAGGCGCTTTGTGACGTAATAGTCAGGCGAGGGCCGCAAGCGATTGAAGGAAACATACAATTCTAAAGATTTGCTATTCGCATTTAACAGGATTCAGTTTAATAAGATAATCAGAAAATTGTCACACTCATAAAATTAATACCTATATTATGTTTAGTTATTATACATTTATTTTTGAAGTACCCGCTTATTACAGCAAAAAACTTCATTAGTGCAAGGTCATCGGATACAAGAATAAATACCTTTAATTTGATTAATACAGTTACCTCGATATTTATTTTTCTACACGGAGCCTACACCAGAGATAAATTCTATAATTTTTTTTATACTATATGGTCAATCAATAATGTACCGTACTATGTTTTTCTAGGTAATATTTTATGATAAATGTTTACAAAACATTTTTCAAACTAAGGACACTACAATATTCATGCGGTTGGCAACAAGGTACACCGCTTGCAGCGATGACAAAGAACTTTGAAAACGCTAACAATTTACTTCGTTCCCTACATTTCCTTGTACTCTTAAAAATGAACGATTAATTTTTCCAAACACAAGCGTTTGTGCTCTCAGTCGATGTATGTAGCCATGGTAAGGAATTTTGTTTTTACATTCAGCTTTGGTATAATGCATTTTACTCTAAATTTCTGATAAAACAAGTGAACATTTCGTTTCCCTTTTTATAAAGACAGGATGAAAATGTGTTCTATGTACAGTCGCATCGACCATGCATTTAGTAATTAATAGAATATCGACAATTTCTAATTACTCTGCTTTTATTTGTTTAACAGAATACACATTTGTGTTGAAATGTACGAATAACTAAATAAACTAATCAATTCAAAACTAAGTAATTAAATCGATACGAACTGTTCAAAGTAAACACATGATTTAAGTTAAAGTTGATTAAATAACTTGTTGAAGAAATCATCATTACAATCGTTTCTAACTGAGTGTTGAGTTATTATTTCAAAGTTGACATTTAACCGTCCCAACATATATCTGTTTTTTTTCAAAGGTAAATAGCAAAATTGTTTCTATACAAATGTTTGGGCAGTGTAAACTCTGCAGTATTATACGTATTATGCCGTGTCTAGGTTGTGGTTTCAGACTACAGCGCATCAAGTCTGCGCAGTTTGAAACCAACATAAAAGCGTGTTCCGCCGCGTCTCGTCAGTTGGAAGCAGGCGAGCGTTGGTTACACTCGTCTGCTTCCAACACCACAATACTCTGATCTTTTATAATAAACTAATAAAATTACAATTATTTGTTTTTTTTAGTGTGTATCAATTTAAATAAAGATTGTGTTACAGAAATAATTCTGCTTAAGTTCTAAAAAAAAAAATTATGTGTACCCAATGAAATAAAAAATTAAGTAAAACATTTGTTTTTTTTGGTGTGTTATTTTAATGGTAAGTTATCAGTAAGTTAAAGAGTAAAAAAAATTTGAAAAAAAAAATTGAAAAAAATTTGGAAAAATAGCCGATAAACATAAAGGAGGGTAGGCAAAGATTTTCCTAACAAGTTTAGTCAATTCAATGTCCAACGTTTACTAATATACTGTCATTAAATGAACACCTTTAGTGTTTTTTTAGCATGTAGATAACATTAATGGACTCCTTATGTTAAGAGTAAACCACTTTGAGTCCGCCAATTAGATTTTTACAACGTGGACATTTAAAAAAAAGGTTTTTAAAAAAAGTTATATTTATAAAAACTCAAAAATGTCACAAAATTGATTTTAAGATGGTGATATTAAAAAAAAATGAAGATGAAACGGAAAAAGTTTGTTTGTTTGCTTGGAAGTGTAGTTAAATCCTTGTAACTTAAATCGATTCTCATTACAAGTTTATAAGTTGCAAAAAAAATGACCCATAACTTGGGAAATATCATAAAATGTTTCTCATAACATTGGATCGTAACAATAGACGCAGATTACCCAAAACTTTCAAACTAGCAATGTAGTTAGTTGTCTGAATAGTTGGAAAAAATTTTTTTTTGCTCACTTTTGTGATTTTTATTTGATCATGTTTAAAAAATAATTGTTATTTTTATTGTAAAAATAATTCTATATAAAAGTATCGCTCTTTTACAGATTAGATGACACTACTGAAGTGACGAATTTCCTAAAAAAATGTATCTCCATTACATAACATTAATCGTACTCGGTTTTTGGCACGGCGAGAATAAGGAAATTCCTTTGCGTGACGTGCCAACCCATAAGCTTTGAACTATACACTAATTATCGTTTATTTCCCGCTTGTAAAACTGTTATTTTAAGACTTGTTTTTAGTTAAATTGACGTGATATATTCGAAAAATTTAAAAAAAACATAAAAAAATCGTTTTTTGAAAAAAAAAATGATTTTTTAAACATAGAAATCCTTATTAATATCCTTGGCCACTGTATATTTTATATGTATATGTATGTTTACGAAGATTTGTGTAGTCACATATTGACGTACGTAGTTATCATTTGGGTATTGAAAATGTATTACCTCAAATCGCAAGGGAAATTTT